CTGCATCCCATAGATTTTGTGTTGTTGTGTGTTCATTTTCCTTGGTTTCCATGAAGTTTTTAATTTCTTCCTTGATCTCCTCAGTAACCCATTCATTATTCAATAACATGCTATTTAGCCTCCATGTTTTCAAATGTCTTTGCTTGTTCTTGTTGCAATTGATTTCTAATTTCATGCCACTGTGATCTGAGAAGATGCTTGATATGATTTCAATCTTCTTGAACTTGTAGAGACGTAGTTTGTGTCCTAACATGTGGTCTATCTTTGAGAATGTCCCATGTGCACTTGAGAAGAATGTGAATCCTGCAGCTTTGGGGTGTAATTCTCTGTAGATATCTATTAAATCCATTTGGTCTAGTGCTTCATTTAGTGTTTCTGTTTCCTTGCTAATTTTTTGTCTAGATGATCTATCCAGTGATGTCAGCAGGGTGTTGAAGTACCCTGCTATGATTGTATTGCTATCAATTTCTCCTTTGAAGTCTTCCAGAAGATTTTTTAATATATTTTGGTGCTCCTATATTGGGTACATATATGTTTATCAAGGTTATATCTTTCTGTTGAATAGATCCTTTTAATATTATGTAGTGGCCTTCTTTGTGTCTAGTTATGACCTTTATTTTGAAATTTATTTTATCAGATATGAGTATTGCTACCCCAGCATTTTTTTCCTTTCTGTTTGCTTGAAAGATTTTTTTTTCCCATCGCTTCACTTTTGATCTATGTGAGTCTTTTGTTGTGAGGTGGGTCTCTTGTAGACAACATATATAATATATGAGTCATGCTTTCTTATCCAATCAGCTACTCTTTCTTTTTATTGGAGCATTCAATCCATTTACACTTAAGGTGATTATCGATATGTACTTATTTATTGCCATTTTTGTTTAGTGTGGTTATATTTTTCTTCCTATTTCTCCTGCTAATTACAGCAGTCCTTTTAAAATATCTTGCAGTTCTGGTTTGGTGCTAATGTATTCCCTTAACCTTTTTGTCTGGGAAGCTCTTTATTTGACCTTTTGTTTTGAATGATAGGCTTGCTGGGTAGAGTAGTCTTGGATTCAGATCCTTGTTTTTCATGACCTTGATTACCTCATGCCAATTCTCTTCTGGCCTGTAGTGTTTCTGTTGAGAAGTCAGCTGAGAGCCTTATGGGGGTTCCTTCGTAGGTAACCTGTTGCTTATCTCTTGCTGCTTTTAGGATTCTCTCTTTGTCTTTAATTTTTGGCATTTTGATTACTATGTGCCTTGATGTGGGCCTGTTTGGGTTCTTCTTACTTGAGGCTTTCTGTGCTTCTTGAACTTGAATGCCTTCTTCCTTCATCAAATTAGGGAAGTTTTCTGTCACTATTTCTTCAAATATATTCTCTAACCCTTGCTCATTTTCTTCTTCTTTGGGACTCCTATGATGCAAATGTTATTACGTTTCCAGTTGTCCCACAGTTCTCTTAAGCTGTCTTCCTGTTTTTTAATTGTTTTTTCCTTTTGGTTTTCTGATTGGTTGATTTTTTTTCTACTCTGTCTTCTAATTCACTGATCTGATCCTCAGCTTCCTCTACTGTGCTGTTTAGACCTTCCAATGTATTCTTTATTTCTGCTATGTCATTCTTCATTTCTTCTTCGTTTTTTTAAATTTCCAACTGGTTGATTTTCAACATTTCTATGTCTTTACTCGTGGTGTTCATGTCCTTACTCATGCTGTTGAGCTTCCTCAAGATCATGGCTCTGAATTCTAGCTCTGTTAACTTGCCTAACTGCTCCACATTGATCTCATCTTTGGTAGAGGTCTCTTGTTCTTTCATTTGGCTTTTGTTTCTGTGTTTCACCATTGGCTATCACAGTGGGCTTCGGAGCCTACCAAATTTTCCCTGTGGGTGTTAATGTTCTGCTGTTTGTACCTCCCTCTCCTGGGTTTGGATGAGCCAGGAAGGACCCATATTAAACACCACTGTCAGGTCTTACTTTCCTGGTTAGAGTTGCTAGCCTAGGAATGGTACTGTTATCCTCTAGCTTTTTGCCTGGAGGCTATCAGTGGTGATTACGTGAAGAGCCTTGGCCTCTCAGTTGAATGAAGAACTCCCTCAGGTGCTCAGCATAAGGGGATTTCCCAAGGGTGGTGTAGATGCTGGTTGTTAATGGGCCTCAATTTGTATTTCAATTGCCACCAGGTGGGGTTGAATCTCCAAGAGAGGGGCCGCCAGCTCTCCCCAGAGCCCTGGGACAGAGTAAAATGACCACCCTCCTGCGTGGCCACAACTCAGCAAAAGCTCTGAGTGCCCTCCAAATCCTGAGTGTCCCCACACAGTTCCAGTCCAGTCTGCCCTCCCTCTGCTGGAGCCCAAGGTGAGTGGCTGTGGCTGTTTCAGCCTCTGTCCTGGCTCTGCGCTGTGGAGCTGCTTGGGAGTTTAACCCAAGGGCGCTGCTCACAGCTAAGGCCACTGCAGTCTCTGGGCTCTGAGCCCCCCTTTCGTGCCTCCACAATCCTACCAGGATTGAGTCAGTGTCCCTGGTTATATGGTCCTCCAAGCTGCTTTTCTGTTGCTTTTTCCTGACAATTTGTCCTTATTTTTGTTGTAATTCCAATTTGGTCCTGGGAGATGGTCTGTGTAGCTTCCATTCACTCCACTGCCATTTTGGAATCTCTCGTTTGAGTTTTTATAACAGCATTACATTCCCTTGCCATACCACCCCAGCTCTTGGCAGTCACTGCTCTGTCTTCCATCTCTATCATTTTGTCCTTCAAGAATGGTATATAAATGGCATCAGACAGTATGTAGTCCTTTGGGATGGGCTTTTTTCACTCAGCATAATTCCCGTGAGATCATCCAGTTGGTTGCATGTCAGTATTTTGTTCCTTTTTCTTGCTGGGTAGGATTCCAAGGCTTAGATGTACCATGGTTTCACTTTGTGTACCCCATGAAGAACGTCTCCAGTCTGAGGAGGCTATGAAGGTATATGTACAGGTTTTGTAGTATTACTCTTAAGAGCAAAAGAAAGTAAAAATACAAACAACTTAGAATTCAAATGTCCAATAAATAGGAAAACAAATAAATCATGGCACAGTGCATATTTAAGTGTCATTTAAAATTATATATCATTGATTTATACAATGAGTTAGACTCAAAAGCCCAGATAGAAAATGATTTTTTTCTCAACCACTGAACTGGGGAAGGGAATGTCTGATCTCTCTTTCCTGCCTCAGGACAATATTTGAGAACGTCTCTCAGCCTTTCGGCCACTTTCAGGCATTTGGTCCTCCGTTTTCAGGTGTTCAGAAGTCTTTCCAGTTGAAGCATCCATAGCCCATCCAGTCCTTTACACCAGTGGGAAGTGGTGTCAGGTGCAACCTTCCTGCCCAGGCTCCTCTGCCCTCCGCCCCTTCCTCTGCCCTCCGCCCCTTCCTCTGCCCTCCGCCCCCTTCCTCTGCCCTCCTCCCCTTCCTCTGCCCTCCGCCCCTCCACCCCTTCCTCTGCCCTCCGCCCCCTTCCTCTGCCCTCCGCCCCTCCACCCCTTCCTCTGCCCTCCGCCCCTCCGCCCCTTCCTCTGCCCTCCGCCCCTTCCTCTGCCCTCCGCCCCTCCCTCTGCCCTCCGCCCCTCCGCCCCTTCCTCTGCCCTCCGCCCCTTCCTCTGCCCTCCGCCCCTCCGCCCCTTCCTCTGCCCTCCGCCCCTTCCTCTGTCCTCCTCCCCTTCCTCTGCCCTCCGCCCCTTCCTCTGTCCTCCTCCCCTTCCTCTGCCCTCCGCCCCTTCCTCTGCCCTCCGCCCCTTCCTCTGCCCTCCGCCCCTCCGCCCCTCCCTCTGCCCTCCGCCCCCTTCCTCTGCCCTCCGCCCCTCCACCCCTTCCTCTGCCCTCCGCCCCCTTCCTCTGCCCTCCGCCCCTCCACCCCTTCCTCTGCCCTCCGCCCCTCCGCCCCTTCCTCTGCCCTCCGCCCCTTCCTCTGCCCTCCGCCCCTCCCTCTGCCCTCCGCCCCTCCGCCCCTTCCTCTGCCCTCCGCCCCTTCCTCTGCCCTCCGCCCCTCCGCCCCTTCCTCTGCCCTCCGCCCCTTCCTCTGTCCTCCTCCCCTTCCTCTGCCCTCCGCCCCTTCCTCTGTCCTCCTCCCCTTCCTCTGCCCTCCTCCCCTTCCTCTGCCCTCCGCCCCTTCCTCTGCCCTCCGCCCCTTCCTCTGCCCTCCGCCCCTCCGCCCCTTCCTCTGCCCTCCGCCCCTTCCTCTGCCCTCCGCCCCTCCGCCCCTTCCTCTGCCCTCCGCCCCTTCCTCTGCCCTCCGCCCCTCCGCCCCTTCCTCTGTCCTCCGCCCCTTCCTCTGCCCTCCGCCCCTTCCTCTGTCCTCCTCCCCTTCCTCTGCCCTCCGCCCCTTCCTCTGCCCTCCGCCCCTTCCTCTGCCCTCCGCCCCTCCGCCCCTCCCTCTGCCCTCCGCCCCCTTCCTCTGCCCTCCGCCCCTCCACCCCTTCCTCTGCCCTCCGCCCCCTTCCTCTGCCCTCCGCCCCTCCACCCCTTCCTCTGCCCTCCGCCCCTCCGCCCCTTCCTCTGCCCTCCGCCCCTTCCTCTGCCCTCCGCCCCTCCCTCTGCCCTCCGCCCCTCCGCCCCTTCCTCTGCCCTCCGCCCCTTCCTCTGCCCTCCGCCCCTTCCTCTGCCCTCCGCCCCTTCCTCTGTCCTCCTCCCCTTCCTCTGCCCTCCGCCCCTTCCTCTGTCCTCCTCCCCTTCCTCTGCCCTCCGCCCCTTCCTCTGCCCTCCGCCCCTTCCTCTGCCCTCCGCCCCTTCCTCTGCCCTCCGCCCCTCCGCCCCTTCCTCTGCCCTCCGCCCCTTCCTCTGCCCTCCGCCCCTCCGCCCCTTCCTCTGCCCTCCGCCCCTTCCTCTGCCCTCCGCCCCTCCGCCCCTTCCTCTGTCCTCCGCCCCTTCCTCTGCCCTCCGCCCCTTCCTCTGCCCCCCGCCCCTTCCTCTGCCCTCCGCCCCTCCACCCCTCCCTCTGTCCTCCGCCCCGGCTGCATCATCCAGGGCTGGGCGCGAGGAAGGAGAGGACAAGGAACCTTCCTATGACCTGTGGGCTCCCTGTGGTCTCCTTCTGACGGCTCTGCAGCAGACTAGTGATGGCTAAAGATCCCAGGACCCATTTTGGTTGGTCATGGTGAGTCCTGTAAAGATGCATCTAGAACCTTCTCTGAGAACATGTGTGCACTTAACATTTTTGTTTTCAGCTTTGTCGTCTTGTGAGACTCAAACATAAAAGTGCATTTAACTTCCCAAAGTAGACAGAGCAGTGCTTTGCCCAGACCCCCTGGCCTTGGGACCACGCCTCTGCTTCCTCTCCCAGTTCTCTCCCAGTTCACTTGTTCTTTGTCTTCCCTGAAGGGAGACTGTCCTGGGGCTGCTGACACCCCTTTGCCAACACACACCCCATGCTGATGTGCCCCTGGGCGGGCTGATGGCTGAAATCACACCCTGGCTGGACTCCTCCCTTTTCCTGCCCTGGCCCCTAGCCCTCCCTTACCAGTTTCTCTGGGAGGGTGCCCTTAATAAGCCCTACCCTGGGGTCTGCTCCCTGCGATCCTGACCTGAGAAAGTTTTAAGCAGAATATGTAACCCCACACTTTGGAGGAGGCAAATTATGCATCCTTGCATTAGGGAGCTTGGAATAAAGGGACCGCACATGGCTCACGCATTCCGCAGGGCGCTCCTCACACGGGGTCTCGTTCGATCCGCACAGCAGCCCAAAGTGGAGGGACTGTGCTCCCCTCTAGGGCAGGCAGGTGGGATCCGTCATGAGGTTAAGCATTTCCTAACCAAGGCTGGCCAGAGTGTAGATTTCAGATTAGCAGCATCAGCATTACCTGGGAGCTTGTTGGAAATGCAGGTTCTCAGGCCCCGCGCAGAACAGCTGATGCACCCGCTGACAGCGAGACTCTGCGGCGGCCCCCACAGCAGGCCCGCGGAAGGCTGTTATTTCCATTTGGCAGATCGGGAGCTGAGGTTTGCCACATTGAGGGCTAGCGGCAGCATCATTGTAGGATTTGAACCCAGGACTGTCTGGGAAACCTGTACCGTTTCTGCCTCACCATGCTGCCCTTCATGAGCAGCCTCTTTCAGCAACCCCCAAACTTTCTTATGACCATAAACACAGGAAGATCATAGGCACCTGCCTGACTGGCTCTTCAGCCTCATCCTTTGAAACCCACAAAGGTGCCATCGGTCAGAAGCCCGTCTGCTCAAAGAGCTTCGTCTGCTGGGCAGACTGTCTATACCTCCACGACCTGCCTGAGCATTAGATCACGAATTCTCTGAGAACAGGGACAGCCTTCTCTTTGTCACCTCGCCCCTAATAGATGGAGGCACTCCTAAACCACTGCTAAGTAAGTGAGAACCTAACCATGTGCCAGGAGCTGTGCTAAAGGCTTGGCATCCGCGATCTCGTGGAATCTTGTAACTGTCAGTGGTGCTCTACACCCAATCATTATGCTCCTTTCCTGCTTAGTGATAGAGCCCTGGTTTCTTAGCTAGGAGAAAATGCACCAGCTAAAATCTTTACTTACCTCCCTCCCTGGCAGTAAAGGTAGTCTGTGCCTGATTCTGGCCAATGAACAGAACTGGATTGTTCTATGGGAATGCTGAAAAGTCTATTCAACTGGGAAGAGAAGTCTTTAATCCTGCCCCCAACCCCTGCTTCCTTCCAGGTGCCAGCCTGGAAGGCTGATATGATGGCTGGAACTTTGCAACCATTTTGGACCAGGAGACAACCTTGAGGATGACAGCTACACATCTGGGTGTGAAGAAGAAAGCGAGGAGCTCACACCATCAAGACACCATGGGATTGTCTTTTTGGTGCTGGGCTGCCTGGCTCCAGACGTCTTTAAACCACTGAGATGTTGGGATCTATTGCAGTTGAACTTAACCCAAAACATTAGAAATTATTGAAGGTAACAAGGAAGATTCAGAGTTGATCACTGAATTTCCCACTCCCCTGAAATGGTGGTGTTGGGGGGCCTACAGTAAAGTCAAGTTGAATCTTCAGGCACCGGGGAGCACCCTGAACAGCCCTGGAGATGTGTTCTGCTCGCGGTGGGAAGTGACGGCTGGCCACCAAGAACTGGGGACGGTGAGTGGTGTCCTGTTTTCTTGCCCTCTCTGCTGCCTGTGGGGAACAATAAACAAAAGCCAGCCTGGGCATAACCTTGAAGTGAAAAAAACAAAAACATATCTAAATACCCCCTTCAGCAGACTACTTTTATCTGCTGAAGAATTAACCACCATTAATTATGATGGTGATAATTATATAATGCATAAAATATACTATGTAGATAAAGTATGCAATTAGATAATTATCATCGTTCATGAGCTGTTACGGGATCATTCTAGGTGATGAGCAGGGTTAATGATGTCAAATTAACTTCTCTCGTCCCTACGCCCATTGCTCAGGCATTCACCTTCCGGGACTCGTGTCCTCACCTACAGAGTGAGGGGCTTGAGGAAGATGCTCTCAGGAGCCTTGGGTCGTGTGGACCCAACAGTTACTGCTCAGCTGCTCAGGGCCCCGGGAGAGAGACCATTTCCTTTGGGACATAGGGTTTGACTTGGAAAACTGAGACAGATTTTTACCACATGTAAGCGATTTTGTCTCCTTCTCGGGGATACACAGACTTTGTGCTTCCAACATTCGAAACAAGCTCCCCAGAGCGAGGTGACTGAAATGGTTCACCCCGTCTTTTCCAGGCTGTGTATGACCCGAGTGTAACATGGGAATAAACAGAGAGGCTGCCTGTGGTCGGAGGTGAGCCTGCCCTTCCTGCCCGGCTCACTGTCCCCAGGGCTGAGAGCGACAATGTGAGGCTCATCTCCAACCCACTCGTGGCACATGGGATGTGCTGAATTCCAGGGCCAGAAAACCGAGGAAAGTAAACATGTGTGTCCTCTTTGTCTGGTTATCAGATTTACATGTTTGGGTTCAGACTGACACATTTGGTTTTGCCTAAAATGCAAGTAGTAAGGCTGAGACCTTGTAACAAGCTACCAAGAGGGCATCTCCGGGCAACTTCCTGCAACACGGGGCCTGGGTGCCCACCGGCTCTGTCCTCTTTGTCTGGCCCCCGGCCCCAGGGAGCTCTTCCCGTTGGCCAAAGCTGCCGAGTCAAGTCAGTGTGGGGGGCAGGGCCTGCCTTTCACTCTGGGGGTCCTGAAACTCAGGGTCCTGTTTGTTGGCCTGATAGACAAGCCCTGTCCTTCCTGGTGTGCTCAGTGACAGCCTTGCACGCGAAGCTGGCCGAGGCTGGGGATTCAGGGGAAGGCCTTGAAATGGACAAAACCTAGCTCTCTTCTTCGGGTATCAAAGGATGAACTTGATCGGTGCCAGGGGCCAGGTGCGCACGGCCCAGATGTCCCCTGCCCTCACTTCATTGTTCATGAGCAGTTACTTCAGAGACAGAGACCAAGGCCAGGATTCTGGAGGTAGGAGCCTCCTCCCAAGTGTAGTTCCACCAAGTACTTCACTTTCCTTAGCCTTGGTTTTCTCTGCGTGAAATGGGAATATTCTACCTGCGTTCACAAATATCTTAAAAACCTACCACAGTCCCGGTGCGGTGCTAGGGTCAAGGGAGAGTATGATGAACAGAACTGCAGAGGATGTGCTGCCCAGCACCCCAAAGGGAAGGGACTGCTGCATCAGCTGCGGGTGCTCTGGTGGGGAGTCGCCAGCTGTGGGTGGGGAGTCGTCAGCTGAGGGTGGGGAGTCGCCAGCTGCGGGTGCTGCGGGTGGGGAGTCACCAGCTGAGGGTAGGGAGTCACCAGCTGCGGGTGGGGAGTCGCCAGCTGCGGGTGCTGCAGGTGGGGAGTCACCAGCTGAGGGTAGGGAGTCACCAGCTGCAGGTGGGGAGTCGCCAGCTACGGGTGCTGCGTGTGGGGAGTCACCAGCTGAGGGTAGGGAATCACCAGCTGCGGGTGGGGAGTCACCAGCTGAGGGTGGGGAGTCACTAGCTGCAGGGTGCTGAGGGTGGGGAGTTGCCAGCCGACAGCCTGTTCACTGGCACTGTCGGCACAGACCTTCCGGCCCGAGGTCCCCCCTTCCCCAGTGGCCCCCGTTCAATGAGTGATCAAAGTAAAATAATGAAGAACTGACCCCCTCAACCCAACCCAGGACACCTCTGAAGGCCACTCCCGCCCCACAGCTCCCTGGTGCTGGGGTCCTGCAGCTTGCTTCTCCCTTCGCCACACCTCCCCCGCAGGGTGGTCCTCAGGGCCCTCCACAGATACTGCCCCTGAACCCAGCCTGCACGCACCAACCTCCCTCTCAGTGACCAGCGTGGGGGAAGACATGCTAAAGGCATTTTGTGGGAATTATTCAGAAGAGCAGATGACACGTATGTGCAAGCCCTTCGGAATCACAAAGCTCCCACTGAAGCTGTGCGGCGCTTCGTCCTGGTGCGTGAGGTGAGTCGAGTGTGCTGTTGAAGTGCCTCCCATTGCTTGGGCAGAGAGCCTGTCCAGTACCGCCCTCCCTGCCTGCAAACGCCCACTTCAGTAGCCCACGAGGGATGATCCGCCGGCAGGAGTGGCACTGTCCAGGTCCCCTGGAGACAAGGCTAAGGGACTTGAGGTGCTCCACGGAAATCTCTGGGCTCACGTCTGCCGACTACCGATCGTAGTGCGAGCCCAATGTCGGAGGCCACAGGAAGGAGGGAGCCACGTGGCCCCAAGCTCAGCTGACAACCCCCGACTCACTGTGCTGTGACCAGCCCTGCAGAGGCAGAGTCCCTGGCTCCAGACCGCTAACAAACTCCTTCCAGCTCCAGGTTTAATTAGTTTCATTGCAATATTAATGATCCCAGCAAACCCTTTCAACGTGCCCGCTGCACCGCTGGAATTCTTTTCCTTGGCATTCGGTCTCTTTATAAGGAAATCCCACACCCGCCCTCCTCCCCGCCTGCCCGTCGAGAGGGAATAAGATCGCATCCTTACTTTGCTTATCACTTTGGCAGGCCAGGGACAGTAGCTTTAATAATTTTGAAACTGGGAGCATTAAACGCATCACAAACTGCCATACAAATAACATATAATATAACCCCAGGATTTTAATTACAGTGACTAATATATGTACCACTCCTGAACTCTCTATGGTACCATCAGGCCACATGCACGGACATTATTGGGAGGTTTAAAATTTGCACAAGAGGTGTCATTAGTTGATCCAAGACTTTCCAGAGCCAGAGTCCTCACCTGGGACTCAGAACTCACTTGTTGGGCACTCTCCGGACTGCCTGGCCAGAGGCAGCACTATTTTCGTGAGCGTCTATGAAAAATGATTGAACATCGCTATCCGTCCAGGTCAGTCTGCGTTGCGGCGGGTTTGGCTTCTTGGCAGAGCAATTAGGCATCTTCTGGTGGACCCCAATGTGCCTTTATTGTCTCTGCCTCTCCAGCAGAAGAGAGAAGCACAGAAAACTAATGTGTGATGGGGTGATGTTCCACTGCCCCCCGAGATCTCCAGCCCAGCCTCAACAGCAGTGATCTGGACTTACGAGGAGCCCCTGGAGTTTAGCACAGTGTCCTTCCAGGCAGAGAACTGGTTTGGGGTGAAACAACTGGGTGATGACTAATAGAAACCGGCTAAGTCCGCCAAAGGCCTTGCCAAGGAAAAGCCGGCAGGCTCCACTCCATGGACACATGATAAGCTCAGCACCACGCTGAGCCTGCACTGAGGGCCCAAGCTCAGGGGCACAGCCGAAGCGACTTGGTCCCACCAGGCACCTAGGGAGGGAGTCGAGAGTAAGGAAGTCCCACTGGCCACACAGACTGGGGCAAGGAAACGGGTACTCATGAAGATTCACACTGGGGATGGAGAGCATCCCAAAGATTCACACTGGGGATGGAGAGGACTCTCGTGGGAGGAGCTCTGCCTGTTCTCCAGCACTTCAAACGGGGGCCTCTGGTTCCACAGCTTCGCTCAGAATCACCGAGATGGTCTCCTTAGGAAGAGGCTCTTTCCTCATCACAGAGTCAGAGGCTGGGCTCATGCCAGCTCTTAGTGCCCTTGCCTCTGGGGTGGCCCCAACCTCCTGCCCTGGAACACACACACTGTTGTCAGAAGACTCTTCCCTAAACTCACATGAGACCATGTCCCTTTTCTGCTCACAAGCTCTCAAAACTTGTAAGTGCCATTGGCTAGGGGACTGACACAGGGGATCCCAAACTCCAGAGGACCTTTTGGACCCACACGCTTTCTGCCAGGACTTCGAAAGGCCCCCGGGCTCCCAGTACCTGGTGAGGTTCCAAGAGCCCGCCAGAAAATGGAAAAGGGTACAAAGCCCCAGGCACAACCACACCTATGAAATGTTTATAAAGAAATAATGTAAAGTGAGCAGGCCTGTATATTTTTAAAAAACTATTAAATATTAGTGAAAGAAATAAAAGACAGCCTAAGAAATAAAGAAATATACCTTGTTACTGAATAGAACATCTCAGTTGTATTAATGCATCAACTCTACAAATTGATTTATACATTTATTCCCATCCAAGTAGAATCACAGAAGTTTTCACTTTTGTGCAAATTGACATATCATTCTAAATTTATATAGAAATGCAAAGACCTGGAGTGGTCAGTTCATTTTGGGTAGAAAAAGAACAAAGATTAAGTACTTACACTACCAAATTTCAAGACTGACTATGGAGCTATAGTGGTAAATATAGTGTGGTTTTGGCATAAGGATAAACAAGAATACCTTAAAGTTTTCTGAAAACTTAAATAAAATTGAGTCACCTAAAAAGGAAGAAAATTATTTGTTTTTGACCATGTATCAATCACATTAGGTGCTGAAAGATTATAAAGCAATGTCTTAAAAATTCTGATAGAAAAATCTATTTTCAACCTGAGATTCAATACTCTTATAAACAGTGAAATGTAAGAGTAGAAAAAAGACATTTTTACAGATGCTAAGATTTGGGAAATGTATTCGCCTCTCACCCTTTCTTATATGTTACTTGAGAATACACTTCAGCCAGACAAGGGAATTAACCAAGAGACATCAGAGACCTGTTGGAGAAAAACAAAAGATCTAAAACTTGTATGATTGGATTCTCAAAGAGGAAGAGAAAGAATGTGGGGCTAAAATGTTTTCAAAGAAATAATGCTTGAAAACTTCCCAAATTTGGTGAATAAAATATATCGACCAACTCAAAAAGCTGAACAAAGCTTAAATAGGACAAACTAGAAGATAACTGCAACAAGATACATTGTAAGTGAACTTCTGAAAATTAAAAAGAAAGAAAAAGTCTTAAAAGCAACCAAGAGAAATGATACTTTTCTTATAGGAACTTGCCAGTTTGAATGACAGCAGATTTTTCATGTGGAAATATGGCATCGAGGAGGAAGTAGCACAACATCCTTCATGTGCTGGAGGAAAAAGGCTGTCAAATTTGAATTCTATCTCCAGTGAAATATCTTGCAGGAAAATGTATAGCACTAAATGCTTACATGAGAAAAGGAAAAATTAATAGCCTATGTTCTACCTCAAGAAGCCAGAAAAAGAAAGAAAGAAATTCAAAGCAAGTAGAAAGAGGGAAATAAAAACAAGAGCAGAAACTGGTAAAAAAAAAAAAAAAAAAAAAAAAAATGACACTGGAAAACAGTAGAGAAAAATCAATGAAACAAAAAAACTACTTCTTAAAAAAAAAGTAATGGAGTTGATAAACTTCTAGCAAGATCAACAAAGATAAAAAGAAAAAAGAAAAAACTAATCACCAATATCAGGAAGGAAACAGGAAATTTCACTACAGATCCTGCAGCCATTAAAAATATAATAAAGGACTGCTACAAATAACTCTGCACTCCTGAATTTGACAACTTAGACAAAATGAACCACAACTACAACTATGAAACTCAGCCAAGATGAAATAGATAGCCTGAATAGTCTTATAACCATTAAAGGAAATAGATTTGTGATTTAAAATTTTCCCAAAATAAATATCCAGGCCCAATGGCTTCACCTATGACTTTTACCAAATACTTAAACAATTACATCGATTTTAGGTAATCTCAGCAAGAAAGTAAAATAAGGAGCAATCCACAGTTCATGTCATGAGACCAGTATCACTATGATGCCAAAATCAGACAAAAACATCATAAGAAAAGAAAACTACAGACCAATTATCTTTCATGAATTTAGAGGCAAATATCCTCAACAAAATATCAGCAAATTTAATTCAATGGCATATAAAAAAATTATGCATCACAATCAATTAAAATTTGTATAAGACATGCAACATTCAAAAATTAGTCAATGCAATCAACCATATCAACTGGCTAACGAACAAAAAGAAAATGCACATGATTATATAAATTGAAACAAAAACATTTGACAAAATCTAATGCTTATCTATGACAATAATAATAGTTTGTTAAAACTCCCAGTATGCTAGGACAGAAGGGAACCACCTCAATGTGATAAAGAGAACTTGCAAAAAGCCAACAGTTAATATCATAGTTAATAGTGAACAAGGAAGGGTGTCTGCTCTCCCCACTCCTCTTTCACACCAGGAGTTTGAGCCATTGTAATAAGGTAAACAAAAAAATAAACAAAAGGCATACTTTTGGAAATGAAGAAATAAAACTGTCCTTATTTTCAGATGACATGATTGTCTACATAGAAAAAACAAGAAATATATATTTTAAAAAAAAACCTCTTCTAGACTTAAAATAAATGAGGTCAGCAAGATTGCAGAATATAGAACAATACAAAAAATAAATTGCATTTCTACATACACAAATGGACACTTTGAAACCAAAATTTAAAACACAATACCATTGACAATTGCTCCAAAGAAAATTAAATGTAAATTTGACAAAGTAGGTATAGAATCTATGTGCTGAAGTTTATATGGAACCAAAAAAAGACCACAAATAGCCATAGCAATCATGAAAAAAGAAGAAAAAAGTAGGAGGGATCACAATACTAGATATCAGTTTACACTACTAAGCCATTGTAATAAAAAAAAAAAAAAAAAAAAAAAAAAAAGCCTGCTACTGGCACAAGAACAGGCATATGGATCAATGAAACAGAACAGAGATCCTGGAAATTGACCCAAGACATTATGCTCAATTAATATTTGACAAAGGTGGCAAGAGTATACAATGGAGAACAGATAGCATCTTCAATAAATGGTTTGGGGGAAATTGGACAACTACATGCAAAAAAATGAAACTAGAACATCAACTTACACCATACACAAGAATAAACTCAAAGTGGATAAAAGACAAATGTGACTTGTGAATCCATAAAAATCTTAGAAGAAACTGTAGGTAACAAAATTTCAGACATCACATGCAGCAGAATTTTCACTGATACAATTTCCAAAATATATAGAGTACTGATCCAATTCAATGAAAGAAAGACAAAGAATCCAACTAAAAAATGGGCAGAGGACCTAAATAGACACCTCTCCAAATAGGATATACAAATGGCCAACAGAAATATGAAAAAATGCTCAACATCACTTATCATCAGAGAGATGCAAATTAAAATGACTATGAGGTATCACCTCACACCTGTCAGAATGGCCGCCATCAACAAATCCTCAAACTACAAATGCTGGTGAGGGTGTGGAGAAAGGGGACTCTAGTACACTGCTGGTGGGAATGCAGACTGGTGCAGCTACTGTGGACAACAATATGGTGTTTCCTCAAAAAATTAAAAATTGAACTTCCATTTGATCCAGTGATCCTGCTTCTAGGAATATATCCTAAGAAGCCTGAAACACTGATCAGAAAGAATGTATGTACCCCTGTGTTCATAGCAGCACTATTTACAATTGCTAAGATCTGGAAACAACCCAAGTGCCCATCAGTAGATGAGTGGATAAAAGCTGTGGTACATAGACACAATGGAGTACTATGCAGCTGTAAGAAAGAAAGATCTCTAATCCTTTGAGATGACCTAAGGGACCTGGAGAGTATTATGCTAAGTGAAATAAGCCAGTCAGAGAAAGACAAATATCACATGATGTCACTTATTTGTGAAATATAATGAAGAAAATAAGGTGGTGAACAAGAGACCTGGAGACATAGAAGTAGGTTCAGACTGACAGACTTCAGAGGAGGAGGCGGGGGGAGGGAAGAGATAAACTTATACATTTAAGCATAACCAATGAACACAGACAACAATGCTGGGGGTGGGGGACAGGAACAGGAGGAGGGTGTCAATGGGGGAAAAAAGAGAAACATCTGTGACAAAGATAAATTAATTAAATTTAAAAAAAAGAAGAAGAAAGTAATCAAAGAAGATCTAAATAATCCATGTTCATAGGTTTGCAGATTCAATATAGTAAACATATCAATTCCTCCCAAATTAATTTATAGGTTTAATGTTATTCCTATCAAAATTCCAGCAACGTTTTTGTATGCATGGACAAGGTTGTAGTACAATTTATATTGAATGTTGCAAACCCTCAAAAACTTAAACAATGAAGCAAAATATGAATAAAATGAAGGAAACCACTTTACTGGATATAAGTCTTGCTGGAGCTAAGGAGTCTAGTCGCTGTGGTAGGATAGACACAGAACAGTGAAGCAGAATGGAGAACCCAGGAAGGACCCACCGAGCCCAGCGATACTCCTGTGCCGGCTGCCGTACGGAGCACCACACTGGGGGCTTCCACAACGCAAACCTATTTTCTATTCTTTTGGAGGCTAGAAGTCAAGACTTGGGTTGGTTTCTTCTGCAGCTTCTCTCCTTGGCCTGCGGCCTTTATAACAAATGATGCTGGAGTATCAGACTTACATGCAAAACATATAACTGTAAATCTCTTAGAGAAAAATACTGGGATCTGGAGCTATGCAGTGAACCCTTAGACTTGACACCAACAGCCTTACACTGCCCATAACAGGAAAAGGGAAAACGAGCCACATCAAAGTAAGAGCCTTGTCCTGCAAAAGCCCTTGTTAAGACTGAAAGACTGGGAGAGAATATTAGCAGACCACCCACCCGACAAATGCCCTACACCCAATTACATAAAGAACTTCCCAAACTCAGCAAAATATTAAGTAAAAAACGAATCATCTGGTTAGAGGAGGACAAGAGCCATGGCCAGATATTTCACCGAAGAGGACATACAGGTGACACCCTTGGACGTCACTGCACTGTCCGTGGCAAGCAGACGCTCCAGGCCACGTGAGATGTGATTCCTGGCCCTAGCCTTCCTCTGCATTTGAGTTTTTGTTTTGTTTTGTTTTTAATTTTCTAGCAAATCCTCGCATTTCCCTTTTCACTTGGCATGTCGGCTTGTCTTTCAAGGTATCTGGGATTTCTGGACACGTTTCCCCATCCAATGTTGGTTTCCAGCCCTTTGGATCAGGGGTGCTGTTCCTACCACACCCCAGGCCTTGTGAGGGCCCCCAGACCCTGCAGTCGCTGGTGGCTCAGAACTCTCTGGCCAGTTCATAGTGTCATCTGCAAGGCCAGCTGGCCACCACCCGTAGGTTACTCCTTCTCTCAAAGCCAAGTCTTTCCACAAGAAAATGCCACCTTCATTCTCAAGACCTCATTTCTTCCCTGAGTCGTGGGAGCCCCTGGATGCCAGCTGCTGGGATCTGTAGATACCAGCACTTTAAGGCTGGTGGAGGCTTTGCATAGGGCTGGGACATCAGAGGCCTTTAAGAGGGGACCGGCCAGGTTGCCTAGAGCTCCCTGATTCTGCAGCCTGACCTGTCCCCCACTTGCTGGCTCTGACCTTGGGCTGGCCTCTTGGAGGTCGTATCTCACATCTACCCTGTCAACACTTGCTGTCTCCTGTCACTGACCTCGGTTCTGGTCTCTGCTAGACCCACCGTGGCTGCACCCGGTGCCCCGTGTCTCCCTCTCGCTTCACCCTGGAACCAGTGGCATCTACGGGACAGTGGTCAGGAGGCGTGCAGGGACCCCGAGGAGCAAAGGTATGGCCCCAACCAGGGAACCAAGGGAGAAGTCAAGACGTGGTAGGACTTGGGGAGAGGGAGACGGGAAGGGAGGAGGCAGTGGAAGGGTCTGGGCCTCTCTCCTAGATCAAACCCACCGTTCCACGAGCGCCGGCCTCGTGCCAGGCCCTGGACCAGGCCTTGAGGAAGAACCCGCTTTGTAATGAGAAATTCTTTCAGGTGGGTTTGTGCCTTCTCATTTCAGCTCGGAGAAGACCGTCCAGTCCTCAAGTTACCACAGGCAGCCAGGGACAGAGTGGCCCGACCCGGGGACCTGTGTGACCTCAGAGCTCGCGTTCTTCCCACGCGCCGTGAAACTGCACTCAGGTCATTTCTCTCGGTAGAACGCATGACACGGTGACAGCTGACCAGGCTTTGTGAGTGTCGCCCTGGCCAAGCGCCAAGCTGCAAATCACACCAAATCCCCACGGAAGCCAAATAACCAGTGCCTTTGTGCGGCCTGCAACTCCAGCTGTGTCGGCTCAACCGGATCTATTGACGAGTCACTGACCCAGCTGATGGCGGGCGGCCACCACAGGAGAGGAGCAGCTTCCTCCCCAGGCCGGGCCTCGGCTCCGCTGGTGTCAGCTCACCTGGCCCCGGGGCGCCCTGGGCAGCAGAGCAGCAGGCACCCCACCTGCCTGTGCCCCCTGCTGCAGCTCTCCTTCCTGGGCTCCTCCTCTGACCCCCTAGCAGTGTAAATTTCATTCATGACAACAAGTTGCCGTGGGCTGAAGCGTGGCCCCCGAAAGATGTGTCCATGTCCTAATCTGTGGAACCTGAGAATGGGACATTGAGAGAGGGGTTTTTTCTGATAGAACTAAGGATCTTGCGATGCGATCATGTGGAGTGTGCTGGTGGGCCCAATGACTAGCGTCCTTTGGTGAGAGAAAGGCAGGTGACCACTGAGGCAGACGGCAGGGGAGGAGGCAGCGTGAGCACGGAGGCAGGTATTTTAGTGATGGGTCTACAAGGCCAGGAAGCAATGGGGCCCCGCAGGGGCAGGGAAAGCCCGCCCCTGGAGCCTCCCGAGGGAGGGCGGCCTGCTGACACCTGGGTTTGGGACTTCCGGTCCAGAACATGAGAGAATGAACTTCTGTTGCTCTAGGTCTCCCAGTGTGGGGTCATTTCTAAGGGCAGGTGACCTGCGGGGAAAAGAAAGACACCTGCTAACACGGGCTCCTGGGGCTAACTGGGCTCAAATTCTTTTCTTTTCTTTCACTAAATTTATTGGGGTGACATTGTTTAATAAAATTACATAGTTCTCAGAGGTACAGGTCTAGAATACATCATCTGTATATTGTATTGTGTGTTCACCAAAATCAAGTCTCCTTCCATCACCATTCATCCCCCCCAACCTCTCTCTCCCTCCCCCACCCCCTTTCACTATACTGTTGCCTATGAGGTTTTGGGGGTGTTTTGTTGTTGTTTTTGCTAAGTCCTATCACTTTTTGTCACCCAGTCTTCTTACCCCGTCCCCTCTGACAGCTGTCAGCCTGTTCTGTCTATACTCTGTTTCTATTTTGTTTGTTAGTTAGTTTTGTTCATTAAATTTCACCTATAAGTGAAATCGTATGGTATTTGGCTTTCTCTGGCTGGCTTATTTCACTTAGCATAATGCTCTCCAGGTCCATCCCTGCTGTCACAAAGGATAATACTTCCTTCTTTTTTACGGCTGAGTACTATTCCACTGGTAAATATACCACTGCTTCTTTATCTGTTCACCTACTGATGGGCACGTGGGTTGCTTTCATAGCTTAGCTATTGTAAATAATGCTACAATGAACATAGGAGTGCATATATTCTTTTGAATTAATGTTTCAGGTTTTTTCAGATATATTCCCAGAAGTGGAATCGCTGGGTCATAAGGCAGTTCTATTTTTAATTTTTTGAGGAAACTCCATACTGCTTTCCACCGTGGCTGTACCAGTCTGCATTCCCACCAGCAGTGTACATGGGTCCCCTTTCTCCACACCCTCACCAACACGTGTTGTTGGTCATTTATTGATGATAGCCATTCTGGCAGATGTGAGGATCAAATTTTAGAAAACAGAGCCTAGCAGCCATTTCCGTACAGAGGCCTTTCACACAAACAGCACTTCACAGAGAAGCCTGCACTGTTCCTGCCCGCGAGCCAGCCCTTATAAAGGAGTTCCTGGAATTGTGTTTCATCCAATAGGACTGAGGCTTTCCCCATCCAGTCAGAGTTGCATAGCTCCAGCCAATTAGAGCTTCTCTATTCTGACCAATCAGGACAGTGTCTTTTGGACCAATCAAACTGCAAGGATTTGGAGTCCTCATTTGCATGAGGATGGACCAATCAGAGAAGGGGCGGGGACTCCTGTCCATATAAGCCAACTCCCAGCTGGTTCTCCAAGACCACACTTTCCCTTTCCACTGAGGACAGAAGCCTGTCCCCTGGCTGAACTGAAACACAGAAGCTCCCTCGCCAGAGCAAGTTAGAGCAGAGCAGCCCAGCACAAAGCAGACAGGCGCCGACGGAGCAGAGCTGGCTGGCTGGAGAGGGGCCTGCCCCAGGGCGGCCTCGCAGCCACGTGGCTCTCACAGCCTGCTGTATCGCTGCTGAGCTGTTTTGCACTGAAAAATGTGTTCTTCTTCACTGCACCCCACGTTGGGAGTTCCTGTTGGCACTGAATTCACGCCAGCCACTACTGGTTCACCAGCAGCTGCAGGAAAGTAACACACGCTGACTTGTATTTCTAACTGTTCAGCATTGGTTGCTATTTGCAGGAGAATTTGTGATCTCATCCCTCAGGCCCATGAGCCCACAGCCGGGTCCTGCTCTGCCCTTGGCTGGAAAGAAAATCCGGACGTTGCATCTGCCTCTTGGGTGTGGAGCTCTGGGCCGAGCAAGATGAGAAATGGGCCTATTTATAAACGAATAGGGCACGGGGTCAGCCGAGGACTTCGCCAAGGTCAGAGATCCAGTCCCCTGAGGCAGGAGGCCTGCAGAGCAGAGCAACGTTCGAGAGGGGGTGGGGGTGCAGGAGCAGAGGAAGCCCGAGGCCTTGCTGACCAGTGGGGCCGTGGTCCATCTCCGAACAGCCTCACGCAGGAATGCTCAGCTGACTTCCAAGTCGAATGTGGGATTGAGGGCGAGGGCGGGCCAGGCTGGGTGGGAGCGGATTCTTTCCCACTGCCTCACCGCCACTCCGAGAAAGGAAGCATGCGTGCCCAGGGTGGGTGCCTTGCGTGCGTCCTGCGGCCTGTCTGTGAGCGCTTGTGCCCTCCACACGCCTGCCACCTTGAGGGGGCGTTGTCACAGTGAGGGGCCTCTGTGCTCTCCTGTTTTTTGTCACAGTAAAGGCCAGTCTCTGGGCAGAACCAGGATGGGGAGACTTACTGTTACTCAGCCCAGGCTGTCCCCTGGAAGGCCGGAAGCTGTGTGGCCATGCCAGCAACGTGGGTGGGCAGAGGCTGCTGATCAGTGGCTTAATTGGGCCAAGGTCCATTCTTGGCCTCTGTAATGCTGGGCACAGCTGTCCAGAGGAAGTCACCGTACCGAGGCTGCCGTACCAGACCCCTCCCACAGGCCTATGCCTGCGAGATGCCTGCTGTCCTGCATCAAGGGTCCCAAGAGCAGCCCCTGACCCAGCCTGCCTCATTCACATCTGTGACCACATCATATCTCTGAGTCTTGTCCATCTTCTCCCTGTAAGAGTAAAGTTCTGACTGAGTAGCTGTTGCAAGAAGAATGGGGGTAGACTTTCACCTGCTCAGGTTCAGAAGGCACAAGTGTTAGTAAGCCTTGAATCCCAGCTTCATCCCCTTTGCTGAGTGGGCTCAGACAGGTCACTCAGCCTCTCTGAGCCTTGTTTCTTCCTCTGTAAATGGGAATAGCGCGACCTACTTGGCCTAGCGCTGGGGAGGTTAGACGGGACAGAGTGTGACTGAAGCTTCAGTCCCCAACCGCAGAACCTGGGTCCATTCCCGGGTGTCTGGACGTCTTCCGTTCTGCTTCACCATCCTCCCTGAGAAAGGCTGCTGAAGTGCAGAGGCCAGGCCCCCAGCCGAGCTCTTGGTCACATGGAGTGCTCCAAACAGCACCTGTGCTCAGAGTTGGCCTCTGTGTGCTGGGGACACTCATGGGCATGTTCATGCAACCCACATGGGGCTACAGGACACAGGTACCTGCAGCCCACAGACCCTCCCCTACTCTTCTCTCCTGACTCTGGGCTCTGGCCCAGCTGGTCATGATCAGGGGACCCAGAAACCAAACCCAAAACCAAGTCTACGAGTTCGCCACGCACTTGCTAAGCCCCGCCTCCCCTGTATGCCTGGCTACAACGTTCTCCCGTAGCAGATGCATACGGGAGGGATTATCTTTGAGAAGGACCTACCGCCTGCGCTCTGAGCCATGCTGCTTGTGTGGCCTTGGACAAGTCGTCATTTTCCTTCAAGTTTCTTTATCTGTAAAATGAGTATAATTATATCTAAGTCTCAGGGTAACTGTAGGTTGATTGTGAATTACCCTGCTATATAGTAGGTGCTCAGTTAATGTCAGGCCCCGCCCCCTCTTCTTGCCCTGAGCCCAAACATGCATGAGCACGGCCGGCCGTGTGGCTTAGGCCCAGACACAGGAGCAGCTGGCTCAGGGAGGCCCCGAACCCGGAAGAGAGCCGGAGGGCTCTACGTCAGGCAGAGTCGCGCAGGGCTCCAGCAGGGCCCTCAGCCCCAGGAGGGGAGGAAGGAGCCTGTCAGATGCCACGGTCTGTCCAGGGTCTGAGGGAGGTGCTGTCACTCTGCCCAGGAAGTTCATCCCACTGAGGCAAAGCTGAGCTTAATTCTCCTCCTGGTGCCCCCCAACACCCCCCACCCTCTCCCTGATTCTGCAGGCGTCCAGGGGTGAGGCCTGCTAGTAGCCTCTGCCCCCAAATCCACTTGGGCATCTCCATGTGCTACTGCCCTCTGGGTGTTTTGCTCCCAAGTCCCTGCTGCTCCGAGTCCGGCCCTCACTGTCCCTGCCACGATGTGTTACAGCCTCCTAGAGGTCTCCCCTCGCCCCTGCCCCTCCCAGACTGTCCTGCACCAGGTCCTCGGTCTCCTTGACAGGCAGCTCGGAGAACAACTTCTGAAGGTACAGCGGGGCGTTGTGTGCAGCCGGACTCTGCCCCCGGTCTCCGGTACCATAGGGGCGCCATGACCGTGTAGTCTGGAGCCTGGATTTTCTTACAACCTGGAGAAACAGATGCCACGCCTTCCGTTCCACCTCCCCAGGGAACAGCTCCCCCGTCCCTGTGGGTGCCCATCCCAGTGCTCCCTCCCTCCATGTCCCGGGGTCCAGCATGTGCCCTGCACCTCCCCCAGTGCGCCTGTGCACGCACTCTATGGCGCACCCCATCTCCACCGCACTTCCATCTCCACCGCACCCCATCTACACCGCACCTCCATCCCCACCGCACCCCATCTCCACCGCACTTCCATCTCCACCGCACCCCATCTCCACCGCACCTCCATCCCCACCGCACCCCATCTCCACCGCAC